AAGACAGAAGCTTGAACCTGTGTGAGCTTTGACAGAGGAGGGAGTGATCGCTAAAGTGTGCGTGCGCTAGGAAAGGAAGGGGAGGCTTTTATGTACTTATTTCATGACAAATCACCAAAGCAGATTTTTGGCCCGAAAATTAATAAAAGAATACTTTAAAATTAATCTTAATTCCAATCTGCTTCTTGCATGCTGGATCTAACTCAGTTTTGCCAGAGACTACAATGACTTGCAGCAGCTCACAGCGGTCTGATGCTTCCAAATCAGAGCAAAACAAGCCAAAATCCACTGCACTATGATCATGATAGAAAATCTCGTGAGAGACCCATATCCGGGAGCTCGGGAGGCAGGGATCTATTTTAGAAAGCGGAAATGCCAAGTGAATTTGTGTCAACTTTTGATGAACACTTACAAAATACGTCTGTTTAGCCAGCTCTTTAAAAGGGGAGCAAGCCTAGCAACTCATGGAAACCGTCAGGAAATGCAAACCAATGGATAATGTCGCATCAAGAGCTAAATATATTCGTATGATCCTGCTATTCTTCAGTGTATTATGTAGCTATAGCTATCTAGATGTAATTTGACCTAGTCAAGGGGAAAATAAAAAATACCTTTTTTCCCTAAAAGCTTGTCTGTCTAATATTCAAAGGTGCTTTGCACAGTCGTGTTTCGACTCCTCTGATAATATATATAGTAAAATCTGATAATATATATAGTAAAATAGCAAATTCAATGAAGACAATAAAAATACTTCAAATATTCTACGTGCAGACACATCCGCCTTCCTGAGACATACACAAACCCGCTGCTGGGAGCATGCACAATCTCTCTAAAATTCTGCACCCATCAACTATGTGATTTTCTGCTATATATAGATACGTTACTTCAAGGTAGTTCAAAAGCGGGGAACGCTCCCGTTTGAATATGTCTGTGTTTGTAAATAACTTTTCCAGTTACGGTTACTTGCACAGCACTATTCCCTGCCATCCTCGCCTTGAGGGATGAGCCTTTTCCTGAAGCTGAGCCTCTCTGATTGTCTAACGTTCAACAAGTTCGTAACAGTTCTGTCGAGAACTAAAAGTGTAAGGGAAACTTATAGAAGGTGTGTCGGGTCCGAAGCAACAATGCCGAGTTTTAAGAAGAAATTCGCATCAAATCACATAATACGTTTCAAGAAGGCAAAGTCACTTTAAAAGGCAATTACTGAATATTACCTTGTTGACAGTTTTAAATTACAGTCTGAGTGCTCGCCTGCAGTTATGAAGTCTGTCTGCTTCGGACCTGCTTCAATCAGGGCTTAAAGCGGCTCCTCCACACGCTCTGCAGGGCTGAGCGGAAAGGGCCCTGGCGTCCTACTGCCCCGGGGCCAAAGGGGGAAACTGAGGCACCTCCACGCTGCTGGAGACCCTGAGGACGCGGGTCCCGCCCGCGGGAATCTCCCCCCGCCACCAGCTCAGGTCAG